GACCCCACTAGTGACCGGTCACCAGTCCAATGTAACCCCAGTACAGTTCAGAACTCCTGCTTTCTTCCTTGGCTGCAGAGGAAACAGCCTTAGCAGGGGATGCAAATGAGGATCAGGGAGAGAGAACGTGTTGCTTCTGATTACACTTGAAGTAATCCCGATGTTTCATCTGAACGGTGCATTAAAAGCCATAATTTGAACTCAGCTTCATGATTATTTGGGTGTTTTCCTTGCAAAACTTCCCTTAGCTTAATTAATGCAATAAAAGAGAACAGGGAGGGTATTGCCTCAGCTGTAAAGCTTCATAAAGCTGGCACATGGAGGAATTAGTAATAAAAGACCAATGTGACTTAATCACAGCTGAATTTTTGCCTGTGTTTTGTCCAGAGACAGAGCACTGTGTAATGAATGCCGCAGCAGACTGCCCTTTATGCACTCATTTTAGAGTATGGCCCTTTTGGTCTTTGAGTTAATAGTCATTCACCATGTGGAATGGCTGAAGTGGTCTATGCTTGGAATTTCTTTGGAGGAAAAAGAACTTAATTTTTTGGCAGGATTGGTTCTCTTCTATGATGTAAGCTTTTATAGTGTTTTGTATTGAAAGATATTGGTATTCATTGTTAGCAGAGAATTACGATAGCAATATTTTTTTCTGATGTTTTCTTCCATATTTTTGGAAGCTGAGATTAGCGATAAAATGCTAAAGAATTTACACATATAAGTTTTTATGCCTTTATATTTGTATGTAAACAAGCTGCTATTTTCCTTCTCCACGCCTTTTTATAAAGCAGCATGATTGCTCATATGTTTAGAGAATCATTTTCCTTACAAAATCAAGCTCCCTGCCAGTTCACCTGCCCTATGGGGGGAAGGGGGGGCGGGGAGGGGAATCCCCTTTTAACACAGGATCACAGAATGGTGGGGTTGGAAGGGACCTCAGGAGATCAGCCAGTCCAACCCCCCTGCCTAAGCAGGTTCCCTACAGCAGGTTGCACAGGAATGTATCTCTATAATTTTGTTACTTAGTAAAAAATATAATGCTCTGGTGGCCAAAGAAAAATACTTTGCTCTGTAGTTGCTGGAGCAAGACACACTCTACTTGGGTACTGTTCAAAATTTCATCGCAGCTCAAGTAGATCCTTTCTGTTCTGACTTTGGGAATGTATGCTCCTGCCTGTTTCAGTGCAGTGTCTCTTAGCTATAGCTCCTGCTTTTCTGTAATCTTAGTGCTTCCTTGAGCAGAGACACTAAGGTGAAGAGTAGGCTCCATTCCTTCTTTTTAGGAACTTGTCAGTAAGAATACTACCCAGTTCCTGCAATGAGCTGCATTTTTTTAATGCCTCCGATATTTGTTAAGTGTGCTGTTATTTATGAGATGATGGAGATGAAAGGAAATATCTAGTACTCTCATAATTTCTGGTTTTAATCTTCTTCAGCACCAGAAGTCCTTGGTCCTGAGAAGTATGACAAATCGTGTGACATGTGGTCATTGGGAGTCATCACATATATTCTGTAAGTATTTGCAAAGAAGATTAATGAATAGAAAAAGGACACATCTTATTAAATCTGCACTTACAAGTAATTAGTCACTAGGATAATGCAACGTGCAGAAGAATATGAGCTTTTACGGGACTTTTTAAGAGATGAAAGGACTTTCCTAGTTATAAGAGTTCTTTTGTACACTCTTACAGCCTGTGTGGGTTCCCTCCATTCTACTCAAACACTGGTCAAGCCATTTCTCCAGGGATGAAGAGGAGAATTCGGATGGGGCAATATGGATTTCCCAATCCAGAGTGGGCTGAAGTATCAGAGGAAGGTAACAATGCTCACTGCTACTGATGAGTATGTGCATGGTGTGCAGTGGTAGAATACTTACAAGAGACTACTTTTAAAAACCTGTCTTAGTCTTTGTTTCTCTTTTTTTAGAATTTAAATTAATTTTTTGTAAGGTGATGCAGAGAACGACTGGGAACTTGGACACTACCCAGCAACAATGACTACTAAAAACTTTCTTTCAATTCCAGCTAGTGCTAGTGAATGCTGAGATTAAACCCTCTTGAAACAAGTGTCTTTAATCCTGAGAAAGCAGACTGCCAGGATAGCTGCAATGCAAGCTGAGTTGAAAGAAAGGCAAACTGTCTTAAGAACTCATTCAGTCTTTGCCCTCCTTCGTGATACAGCCAGCAAGGATGGCAAGTTTTCGTGCTATTTTTTTTGTGATGTGAGAGCTTGCCAGCCAGCGCTTAAATCAAGGTCAACAATTTATTTTGTGTAAGTTATTGACCAAATAATCTTACAGGGCTCTGTTTGTGGTCCCCTCCTTTTGTTTCCTTGCACATTTTAGACTCCAGGTAATCCCTTCTGTAAACCTCCTTTGCAGCCTCTCTCAACAACTAAAGTCTCAACTTCTACCTCTGACAGCTTCTTACAAGCATTTAGTTATCTTGCAATCAATGTTTCTAAAAAATAACTCTTATTCAAAAGTTTTTCTAGGTTCTCCCAAGGAGGTTATGTTTAAGTCTTTCTAAATAATGTCCCTTGGATGTATTGTCTGCTGTCTGCCCGCATTAACGAAACTCTTGTCCAGACTCTCATCATCTCCTATCTCAGTTACTTAATACTCTTGCTTTGGCAGATACTGTGTTCATAAAAAGCTCGGCAGCTTTTTGTTCCTGTTTCTCTTTTATTCAAGTTCTTGCTCTCAAAACAGTTGGTTTGGTAATGTAGATAGCATAGCTGAATCCCCAGTCCTTTGTCTTTCCTTCTTACCTGTTGCTTTGGATGTTTTCATGTTCTTCCTCTTTAAACATAATAGCCTACCACACTGTGCATGGCTTCTTAACATGGTAACAGCAGTAGGTAAGTATTTTGAGTTCTGCAAAATTATCTTTCCTCATTCAGCAGGTCTTTGTGCTCTGAAGGTTATTTGGGAGCGCAGTAGTAGACTACAACACACCATGTTGGTCTTGTTTTTCAGCCAAACAACTGATTCGCCACTTACTGAAGACTGACCCAACAGAGAGGATGACAGTTTCTCAATTTATGAATCACCCTTGGATTAATGTGAGTTTTATATCTTTTTTGCAAAGGATGATGAATTCTTCCATGCAGAACTTGCATGTAACTCCATGTGGCACAGCAAGAGAAGGATGATGATTACTGTTAATAACTTCATTAACCTCCTGTGCCCTCCACAGAGGGTCATCTGCCTGTAGAACCATAATTCTTCTTGGTGTTACCAGAGGACACACAGAGAGACACCCACAATAGCATCCTTGGAAGTGAAAGCTGAATGTATCTGTATCATCTGCGAGCAGCAGTCACTGTTGACTCTGCAGCATATGCATGTGTTACTCTCTTTAAAAATATAAAAATAAACTGTATGTACTTACCTCATCAGTGCAGGATTTAAAGAGAGCTATTATTAGTGGTTTCAGGCACCATTGTGCATAGCTGTACTAGTGTGAACACGGTCCTATGCTTAATGGGAATTCTCATCCCTGGCAGAGTTTGGAAATGTGTGTGGGAGGAGCAAGGGTCTTGGCTTAGTGCCCTGTAAGAGATCCCCAGATAGGGTGGTACACAGAGCTATTAATGGTCCCAGTTCAGCTTTCATTCTACGACCTGATTGAATTTACTTTTCTTTAACAAATACTTGTGGGGAAAGAAAGAATAAAAGACTCTTAATAGTACAATATTAATTATTTCAAAGAAGAGAGACAACAATCTCAAGAGTTAGCAAGCTGAGTTTCAGGCTGTCATCTCTGCTCTGTAGGTGTCACTCAAAATAATAGATTATACTTATCACATTGTGCCTAAAAGGGCACCAGTCTTGTTTCTAGCTGCTGAAAAAATAATCAGCCAGGAAGAGAATCACTTGTACTGTAGAATGCCTTATTCTCCCATAGTGCTTTCTCTGTCTGTGCTGATCCACAGAGGAAGGGGCAGAAACAAAGACATGACTAATAGTCAGCATTTCTATAATGCCTGTTTGAAGATCTGAAAGCCCTCAGAACCATATAGAAAGGTAGCTGACGTGATGAAATAGGTAGATGCCTTCATTTTGAGTTGTGAAAGCTGAGAAATTAAGGTTACAAAGACTCTGTAGAACTGGAACAGAACCTAAACAATGTTTCTTAGTCCTTTTTAACCAAATAAAAATGTAATCACTGTTCAGAATAAATACCTCCAGCTTTAAGTGTTTGGAGACCCAAGAAGTAGGTGTTCCAGAAGTCAGCAGGCGATGGATTTCACAGAATGAGTGCCTAATAGCTAAGGAAGCTACCACCTACAGTGACATGTCTTACTTGAAATATAGCCAATTAATAAGGAGGAGATTAGAGACAAGGTCTATAGACTCTGCTGCACCAAAGAGCCTTGCTAGAATACCATTCTTGGAAGAATGCTTTAGGAGCTGCAGATTGGCTTTTTTTTTTTTTTT